TTCTGGCCCCGCTCCCAGGGAGCTGGCTCCCACCCTGCGCTGCAGGGTCTGATACAGAGCCTTCAGTGCTGGCTGGCAGCCAGTTCCTGGGAGCAGGGCTGCGAATCAGTGTGTAACCCGTTATGGGAATGGATAAGATCATGATTATCAGGTAACCATTTAAAGTTTTTTAAACTGTTACTCTTGCATTCCTAATTTTCCTAGAAGATTGTTTTGTGCTGCTACTTGGTCCATGCAGTGATGACTACCTGATTAACATTTGTGGAGTTGCTGGAAGATGATGCCTCTTATTACACCTGCACTGATTGTGCCCTTCACAGTTGTGGAGCCAAGTTCTAAGGAGGGAGCATCTGTGATATTGGTGTGATTTCGTTGAGCTCAACTCACCTCCAACAGTTTTTGGGTCCTTGTAATTGTGTTCTGTTAGTTTAACCTCTGTGGTATGTCAGAGAGGTTAGTATATAAACATACTGAGAGAAGGGATTAAAGTAATACATTTGTATTTTATTACTTGATAAATAAAAGGTTTCCTCTGGATATTTTTGTTTTAACTTTGGTATTTCTAGTAGATTGAGCTGTTCCAAAATTATCATTAAGTTGTGTGTGCAATTTTAAATGCACACATCTTTAAGATACTTTTTTAAAAAAAAGTGATGTATAGTTTCCCATAATATCACTAATGCATAAATGCTAAATTTGTTTATATGTATTGATACTTCAATAAAAGTGAAGATCCTATTCACATGTAATAGGATCCAGATTCATTTTAGGTTGCAGTTCCACAGAAATCATTTCTGATTATGCCTGTTTTCAGAAGGAGCAGGGGGCTTCCCCGATTCAGCTGCTGGTCAATTTCAACAGCAGCTGAATGGGGGAAGCCTTTCCGGCTGCCCCAGCACTTCCGAGTTCCTGATGGTGCCGGACCATCAGGAGTCCCGGAGCATTGGATGCCGGACTAATGGAGTTTTACTGTATTTGGCTACAGACCTACTCCTTTGATAGCCCTGTGGTATGTGACCTGTAGGGTTGGGAGGCATATGCAATCACTGAGTAATTGTACTCTGGATTAATTTTAAACCAGCATTCTAACCTGTACTATGTATTTAAATGTAATGTCATTTACATACCACAGGCAGTCCCCGAGTTACGCGGATCCGACTTATGTCGGATCCGCAGTTACGAACGGGTCTTTTCTTGCCCCGGAGGACGGGAGCGGCGGGACACCCCAGCAGACCAGGCTTTTCTCGCCGACGACGCCTGGGGTAGAGCAGCTGAGGTGCGGCGCTGCGGGGACCTACCCGGCAGCGCCCCAGCCGG